TCGGAGAACAGTACCAGGAGCGATGTGTTGTATTGATTGCTCGAGTTGGCATGCTACCAGAGTGGTTTGTATCCAGAATCTGAAGAGGGCGTTCGTACGGGTCCGGACCATAAACGCTGCAGACGAAGGACGAAACCACGTTGAGCCAAAAGACCAGAAGCGACCGTAACGACCAAGTTCGAGACCAAGCGTATGCCAAGCATTCGAAACCAATATATCGACTGAGTACGTTGACAAGAGCGTGGGTGGCCAATCCAGCTTTCGCCAAAGTTGACTGAAGTCGACGGAACCAAACGGAGATGGTCGAAGGCGTGGGCTCAGGAAACAAAAAGAAAATCAAAAAAAGAAGAGTGTAGCATACTTGTAGTATAGGAATAATCCTACACCGTATCGGTAGTTGACTGTGCGAATATTCGCGGAAGCGTACGGGTAACCGTACTCGGCGACCGGAACGTGAGACGGCAGTCTCGTTCGCGTCGCGTGAGCCTGCAATCTCATCCGAGGTCAGAGGCGGCGTGGTCTGCTGATCTGGACGTGAGACTGTCGTCTCGTCCGTAGACGGTGCAGATGACGCGTGCTGTTGACCGGGACGTGAGAATGAGGTCTCAGATGCATCTAGCGTGGGACCTGAAGAAGATTTAAGGATCCCGCTAGGTTTGATAGGTCTAGCATTGAATCTCAGGGTGTCAGATAGGGCACTGTCATCGACGTGTGCTGGTTTGAGACGATCAATGCTGACGATCTCGACGCGTCCATATCGATCAACCTTGAAGGTCTTTTCGTGACGAGCGATCACGTGAAAAGGGCCTTCGTAAGGTTGTTGCCAAGGTTTGCGTACCGAATCTACTCGTACAAAAACATGTGAACAGGTAGATAACTCTCGAGGGAGAGCGACCTGTCGATGTTGTATTCGAGTTGACACCGGAGGCAGCGTTCGCATAAATGCAGACAGTCGTTGGACGTAGTCTGATTTACCGAAGTTAGGTCTGCTCCGTGGTGTGAAGAGTTCTCCGGGCAGACGCAATGTCGTGCCGTATACAAGTTCAGTGGCGGAACATTGGATATCTGCCTTTAAGCTCGTTCTCCCCCCCTAAAAGAACGAGCGGTAAGGTTTCGTGCCAGTTGCCGTTTTCGTGTGCTCGTAGAACACTTTTAAGTTGGCAGTGAAACCGTTCAACTTAACCATTTGGTGCTGGGTGGTAGACGGATATGCTTATGCGTATGCATTCCGTACCATGCAGCCGGGTCAGCGAGGAGAATCGTTAATAGGGTAACATTTCTCGAATAGAGCGTGGAATTCATCATCACGCGAATAAAGTGACAAGGATTCGGTACACATACGTGTGAGTCTATTATATTAATACTATTCTTATCGTTATCCGTCATGTCGCGTATATTATATATTAAAAAATATGAAAATATACGACAGACGTGGATAGATAAATCATAGACTCACCGAATTGGCTTCTTTGGAAGATTTGACCAGAAGCTGAGGCGTGTTCCAAAATACGGGTCACCAATTGTAATTGAATTGGGATTACCAATTGTAGCGTGGCGTCGAGTTGAGATTAACTATGAACACCGCTACCAAGAAACACGTGCCAATTAGATCAGAAGGCGTAAGAAGCTCGTTCCAAATGACTCCATAAAATCCCCGAGAAGCCAAATATCAGAAGACAGTTAATGGACCAAGTCGAGGTTTATTAGCTGGCGATCTCGTGGCATCGAAAGGATACCGAGATCGTGCCAGGATACAACCTTGGTTACAGAATGTAACCGAATTCGCGCGAAGTTACAATTGAAGTGTAAGCGAAAGAATGGAAGCACAAAATAGCTGTCATTAGCACAGTCAAACAAAAGCACGTTAAAACAAACACTGGTACAGTTGGTTATAATAATAATTGTTTTTATTAAACCAGTCGTGTTCTCGTGATAAACGTGAGTCACTACAGGAGCCCCCCGCTAGAAAGGGTTTACACTTTCGATAAATAGCGGTTTGAATCGTGGGACTGATCGGCTGACGAGCGATTGTAGGACGGAAAGATTGGCGAACAGGAAAGCGATCGTTGATCGTCGAGTTGCCAACGAAGGTCGTTTTCGGAGAACAGTACCAGGAGCGATGTGTTGTATTGATTGCTCGAGTTGGCATGCTACCAGAGTGGTTTGTATCCAGAATCTGAAGAGGGCGTTCGTACGGGTCCGGACCATAAACGCTGCAGACGAAGGACGAAACCACGTTGAGCCAAAAGACCAGAAGCGACCGTAACGACCAAGTTCGAGACCAAGCGTATGCCAAGCATTCGAAACCAATATATCGACTGAGTACGTTGACAAGAGCGTGGGTGGCCAATCCAGCTTTCGCCAAAGTTGACTGAAGTCGACGGAACCAAACGGAGATGGTCGAAGGCGTGGGCTCAGGAAACAAAAAGAAAATCAAAAAAAGAAGAGTGTAGCATACTTGTAGTATAGGAATAATCCTACACCGTATCGGTAGTTGACTGTGCGAATATTCGCGGAAGCGTACGGGTAACCGTACTCGGCGACCGGAACGTGAGACGGCAGTCTCGTTCGCGTCGCGTGAGCCTGCAATCTCATCCGAGGTCAGAGGCGGCGTGGTCTGCTGATCTGGACGTGAGACTGTCGTCTCGTCCGTAGACGGTGCAGATGACGCGTGCTGTTGACCGGGACGTGAGAATGAGGTCTCAGATGCATCTAGCGTGGGACCTGAAGAAGATTTAAGGATCCCGCTAGGTTTGATAGGTCTAGCATTGAATCTCAGGGTGTCAGATAGGGCACTGTCATCGACGTGTGCTGGTTTGAGACGATCAATGCTGACGATCTCGACGCGTCCATATCGATCAACCTTGAAGGTCTTTTCGTGACGAGCGATCACGTGAAAAGGGCCTTCGTAAGGTTGTTGCCAAGGTTTGCGTACCGAATCTACTCGTACAAAAACATGTGAACAGGTAGATAACTCTCGAGGGAGAGCGACCTGTCGATGTTGTATTCGAGTTGACACCGGAGGCAGCGTTCGCATAAATGCAGACAGTCGTTGGACGTAGTCTGATTTACCGAAGTTAGGTCTGCTCCGTGGTGTGAAGAGTTCTCCGGGCAGACGCAATGTCGTGCCGTATACAAGTTCAGTGGCGGAACATTGGATATCTGCCTTTAAGCTCGTTCTCCCCCCCTAAAAGAACGAGCGGTAAGGTTTCGTGCCAGTTGCCGTTTTCGTGTGCTCGTAGAGCACTTTTAAGTTGGCAGTGAAACCGTTCAACTTAACCATTTGGTGCTGGGTGGTAGACGGATATGCTTATGCGTATGCATTCCGTACCATGCAGCCGGGTCAGCGAGGAGAATCGTTAATAGGGTAACATTTCTCGAATAGAGCGTGGAATTCATCATCACGCGAATAAAGTGACAAGGATTCGGTACACATACGTGTGAGTCTATTATATTAATACTATTCTTATCGTTATCCGTCATGTCGCGTATATTATATATTAAAAAATATGAAAATATACGACAGACGTGGATAGATAAATCATAGACTCACCGAATTGGCTTCTTTGGAAGATTTGACCAGAAGCTGAGGCGTGTTCCAAAATACGGGTCACCAATTGTAATTGAATTGGGATTACCAATTGTAGCGTGGCGTCGAGTTGAGATTAACTATGAACACCGCTACCAAGAAACACGTGCCAATTAGATCAGAAGGCGTAAGAAGCTCGTTCCAAATGACTCCATAAAATCCCCGAGAAGCCAAATATCAGAAGACAGTTAATGGACCAAGTCGAGGTTTATTAGCTGGTGATCTCGTGGCATCGAAAGGATACCGAGATCGTGCCAGGATACAACCTTGGTTACAGAATGTAACCGAATTCGCGCGAAGTTACAATTGAAGTGTAAGCGAAAGAATGGAAGCACAAAATAGCTGTCATTAGCACAGTCAAACAAAAGCACGTTAAAACAAACACTGGTACAGTTGGTTATAATAATAATTGTTTTTATTAAACCAGTCGTGTTCTCGTGATAAACGTGAGTCACTACAACAGTATGTGCTACCAAGGCCTAAGTCTAAAATTTCAAAAACGAAAGAGTCCAATGGTCCACCTCATGCGCACCAAAATACTGATAGATATAGTAATGACATCCGACAGCTACAAAACTCTCTATCAGAAATTAACGGCAAACTTGAGCAATTAGCACCCCTCACTCATATATGGGGACTTGATACAGACAGAAATCTTGTGCAACTCACTAAAGCTGAGTGTATTTTGGAGTTTGTGGCTGAAGAAGTGACGAAGAGAGTAATGTCCTCCTTCAATGCAGTTGTGTATAACCTCCCCGACCGCACACACCCATCTAAGTTAAGAGATATTTGCCTTAGAGCATGCGGTATGCCGAACGTTAACTGCAAAGTCATCCGCCTTAGAAAAAAGTCAGACAGATCGACTTGCCCCCTCTTGTTTATGTTTGGCTGTTGTAACGAAGCTAAGCAGTTTATTGATTTGAGCAAAAACATTAGCTCACTAATTCCATACAAAAATATAAAAGTCACTCCAGACCTTACGCCCTGTCAACGTCGTGTAAGAAGACGCGAAGCGATAGAATTGAATGGGAGTGTTACAGTTAATAATCAGCCAGAGACAGTTTGCAACACAGCAAACAGTTTAAAACACACGGACATTAAGCATGACACCACTCCACATACGGCTGATCACTCTGTTGATCTAGATGAGTCTACAGATCAGAAACCTTTGGATAAGATACGGACCCCAACTGACACCAAAAACCATAACGACATGACTAATCCCAGCTGTTCATTCAGTAATGTACTAAAATGTGAGTCGTGTAACAACACATGTGCAACTAAACCTATACACTTGAAAATTTGTCCTCCTAAAGATATTCCACAAGTAGACTTGAATGAACGTAAGTTCATCTCACAAAGATAACGAAAGAATCCTGCTCTGAAAATAAAGGGAGGGAAGACAAAACTCATGATACCGAATAGGGAAACACGTAAGATTGAACCCAACTGCTCTATAGGTATCCCAAGAACAGTGAACAGGTTCTCCCCGCTGCTATCGTATAACTTGCCTTCAACACCTCCAAGTTGCAAAAAGGGTGGTGGGCTTCAACGTAGCAGGCCTTCTTACACGCAGACTAACGAAAACTACCAGAGAACTGGCCACCCAAATCACCCCCTGAAGCCTAAAACCATAAATAAGAACGGTAATAATAGGTTTCTAACTCCACACCCTACCTACATTCCCCAGGATCGCAACTGTAATTACTCTCAAAAAGAAAACTTCTCATACCCTTTAGTGCCGACCCATCACATAACAACGGCTCCCATGTATAACAACAGTCGCAACTCCTCCCAGTTACGCGTAGCAGACCCCTCTCGCGCTAACGTAAATAGCCATAACAGGGGCTACGAGTCTAACCATCAAGACTATTTTGTAAATAACCATACACTTCACAGTAGGCCTGTGCAAGATTTTTTTGGAATAAGACCCCTAGTGACACCTCTGTTGAAGCACATAGCCCAGGTTATTTCAAACCACATGCAAACCATAAATTTGTTTCCTCCGTACAGTTTCCATCACAGAGTACTCCCACCCTTTCCTCCTGGGTAAACTCCCCAATTAACTTCACCAGCTCATTTGATACATCTCCCAATAAGTTTAACTATCAAAATACCGAGCTAATGAAGATCATCCAATCCCTCACATCAAACTCATCTTACACTCGCGAGGGTTACGACGACTTTATCCGAAATACCCTCACCCATTTTAACTTAGTAGGCCACTTGCTTAATATATGTCTTATCAACGCTCGATCGATCTGCAACAAAAAGACGGATTTAGCCCTGTTTGTATCCATATATCAACCATCAGTTATTATGATATCTGAAGCATGGACTAACAGTAATATTTCCGACCGAAGCATATCTCTAAATAACTATTCCCTATATAGAAGCGATAGATTGAATGGACGAGGCGGAGGATGCCTTATTTACGCTCACTCTAGCCTGAACTCACTGCTATGTGATATGCCTGAACTAAACAAACTGAAGGATTCGGTGTGGATTGTATTAAAGCCGTCGAATTCCGTTACCTTACTGCTCGGCTGTGTTTATCGTCAACCTAACGCATCAATAGATGAAATAGCAGTATTATCGGAGGTATTCACGCTAGCATCATCCCTTTCATTCACATGCAAGCTCATTTGTGGTGACTTCAATATGCCCGAAATTTCTTGGCTGCCAGTCAAAGCGCCGAGACGTTATGAATCATTTATTGAATGTCTAGAGCTTGGACAATGGACTCAGTATGTCGATAGTCCTACCAGACATCAAAACATCTTATACTTAGTCTTTACCAGTGGCCTCATCCCCAATACTTTGTATATTGGAAAAAAGTCCCCAGGTAGTGATCATAACATTGTCATATGCAGCCTTAATGTAAAAACCACAAACGATAGAAGTAAAACCGTAACACTTCGTAGAAACTATCGCAAGGTTGATTGGAATAACTTCCACAATTACCTAAGAAGCACTGATTGGAGAACTTTCTTTACCTCAAACAATACCGACACATTAACCAATATATTTTATCACAACATCAAAAGTATCATCAACAACATCGCACCTTTAGAACACTGTAAACCTGCGTTCTCCAAAGATCTCTATATACCGGTCAGTACAAGAAGACGTCTTCAAAGACATTGTACTCGATTCCACAACTTAAATGACTTTTCCTCTTTAGTAACGATGACAGAAATACTTGTCCGAACAGAGGCAATAAGTAAACAGAAAGCAGTAGCACAGGAAAAACGTGCAGTTGAACTTAATAATAACTCCTCTGCACTCACCATACTACTCCAAAATAAACTTAAACGCTCTAAATCGAGAGGGAGTATACTCATTAAAGGCAAACAAATATACGAAGATCCCAAACTTATCACAGAATTATTCAGTGAACATTTTTGTTTCTCACTAACTAACGAAAAACCATTTAATGAGTCAGAACCAATCCCAGTAACTCCCTGTGAAATTACTAATGTAGAATTCAGTGTACAAAATATCTCCAAAGCAATCAGTACATTGAAACACTCCTACACTGATGGACCAGATGGTATTCCATCTAGCATGCTAAAACGCGGAGGTGATGATATGTGTGTTTTGCTTCTCAAACTATTCGCGATATCACTCTCTTCAGCGTGTTACCCTACTGCCTGGAAAACTACACATATCATTCCCAAAATTAAAACAGGACCTGAAGCAAACGTTGAAAATTACCGGCCTATAAACATAACTTCAGTGGTATCCAGAGTGATGGAAAAAGTAGTTAAGGCGGCTGTAGTCCAACATCTATTAACTAACAATCTCTTGTCGACCTCCCAGCATGGATTTCTTAGGTCCAGATCATGCGATACATGCCTAGTAGACTACCTGAATGATATAACTCTGAAACGAGACAGCGGACTCCTTGTATCAGTCCTATTCCTAGACTTTAAGAAAGCCTTTGATAAGGTCCCACACAAAAGGCTACTCGTCAAACTAAAGTCCTTCGGAATACACAACCCACTGTACTCATGGTTTGCTTCGTTCTTAACAGAACGTAAACAGATGGTAAAGTACAATGACTGTCTCTCGTCCCCTAGACATATCACCAGTGGAGTCATCCAGGGAAGCGTATTAGGGCCACTTTTGTTTCTTATGTATATAAACGGCCTACGTAACACCATAGAATTTGGGAAACCGTACTTATATGCTGATGATCTCAAAATAGTATACAGCTATAAGCCTGAGACACTAAGCGAAAGTGTATCCCAGATCCAAAAGGACCTCGATAACTTAACTATATGGAGTGAAAAATGGCAATTACCATTTAACCTCAACAAGTGTGGGATCATGTACTTTGGAAAGCATCCCTATAAACCGCGACTTCACTTAAATGAATGTAGAGTCCAAACACTCGAATCAGTACACGATTTAGGAATTAATTACACAGGAAGCCTAAACTTTGAAGAACATGCCTCCTCTATTATTTCTAAATCTAGACGGCTAATTGGTTTTATAATGAAAAACTTTTTCACAACAGAGGGTAAACTTACTCTCTACAAAATATGTGTACGACCCACCCTTGAATACTGCTCTTTTGTCTTCTCTAATATGAATATCGCAGACAAGATAAGAGTAGAAGATGTTCAAAGACGTTTCACACGTCAACTACTAGGATGTAACTTGAATCTCGATTACACAGACAGATGTAAGCATCTATCTTTAGAACGTTTATGGCACCGTAGGCTAAAACACAATTTAATATTTCTCTACAGAGCGATATATGGGCTCTCCTTTTTAACCTCCTGCCCGACTATCACCCACGACTCAGTCTATAGACTTAGAAACAACGCATATACACTACTTATCGTAAAACACCAAAAACAAATGCGTTGTAAGTTCTTTACAGTACGGTACAGTTTATTGTGGAACAGGCTGCCAATGCCTATCCGTAACTGTGATACGTTTACCAGATTCAAAAAGCTAATAACCCTATTTCTAGACTCCAAAGAGCTTCAACATTACCTTGAACTCCCGCCCACCGATGAGGCACTTTATTACGGACCGCCTAGTATCTAGAAAGAACAGAATTATAACAAGTTCGACTGTTACTAATCTAAATATAACCAAATCACAGGATATATGGCTTATCCTTTCCTATTATTCATTGTTTATTAATCATGATTTCATGCTCCTAACCCTAGCTTTAAGTCCCCAAATCTCTACAGGTTAAATGTACATTATTCTTCCTAAAAGTCATGCTTTTTTTTCTACTGCAAGTGGACAGATAGCTCAATCTTATGGATGCTGATCTACTAAGGCCGATCATTCAAAGCTCAAAATTTGGCCACAAAGTCTTGTGAGTTTCTCAATGTTTTATTTTTCTCACCCTAAAGTCTTTTTCTTTTTTTTCTACAATTTTATACCCTCTCATATCTTTTGATTTACTATTAATCCTTACTTCTTTAAACCATTAGTTATTTTCATAGCAGTGTGATATACTATATGGACATCTAACCCATAAAACAGAATTTTTAAATATCTGATTTGCTTGTAACATGGACCTAGTAGAGACAGTGTATTCCAACTATGTGCTTTGATTAAAGCATTAATCATACTTACCACAAACGTAAGAGAGCCTAACATCACAAAAGGAGGGAGGGTGGCGTTACTGACCAGCAAACATGAAGGTGGGGAGATAACTTCAATCCACCCATGTCTGTAGGGCAGAACATTTTGTTTAATTACGGCTCCTTATGGTTTAGTGGGATGTCACGGACTTAAGGTATTGAAGCTGATCTATCACGCAAAATACCTCTTTAAATCGTGTTACGAACGTTGAATTGGTTTCACTTCCTACTCAGAAATCCTATTACAAGCAAACTAGACAATTCGCTAATATACGAAGCCTACTCAAGACCCTATAAAACCTGAAAAAAAAGAAATAAAAAAAACGAAAGGGGCTCTAATAGCTTCGATAATGAAAGGGAGATAGCCAGTTGTATATCACAATACTGTTTCTAGCACTATATTTTATTTTATAATCACACATAATCTTATACTCTCAGCTCTTTTCCGAATCGCCTCCATTTGTCAGTTGTATGTCCACTCACACCTTGCTAAAGCTTATTTTCTTTAACCTATTAAAATGCTCTTTCTTAACAAATATCTTAATAAAAGAAAATTAGACTGAGTAATCATACCTTAAACATTCCTACATGAATATTGGCTACTCTGCCTCTCGTGTTTTCTTTTACTTGCTCCCTCTTTCAGCCCCCTTGAGATATGGAACAGGTTACTTCATCCTGCACCATCCTTAAAGCCTTCGATATCCCAAAGGGACATAAGGTTGCGATTTCTAGAAGCTCATACCTTTAATGGGCCTATTCTTGACCATCAGTCGCACATTCGCAACGCAACTCTCGTGAAGCGCGCCAACTATAGTACTGATTAAAACTACCTACATACATGTCTTATAAATTTTCAACCCAGCTATGTAATTTAATACAGTGTATATTGTATCATTTGTATCAATTTGATCTTGCCTGTAAACTGGCATGCCTCATGTAACAAACTGTTATTTGAGAATAAATTATTATTATTATTATTATTAAAAACTTCTCGCGAGATTCTTTAGGGACGTTTCGTATGATATTGCGCTCAGAGTACGGTATGTCGGGCAATATTCTTACGCTACCATTTGATTTCAGCAAGTGACTTGCTAGTAAGACGTCATCTACGTCGGTAGCATTCTTAAGTGTTACTCGGAGAAGCATCGGGTGATTTAGGTGCTTAGAATCCTTTCCTCGAGTGAGCCGGGTGACCGTCAAAGGCTCTATTCTAGGAAGTTCGAGCTTCTTGTTCTATTCACCCCACAGCATCCTGTCGTTTTTGTCTTGCAGACTGAGAGGAAGATCAGGATTGTCAACGAGGTTCATGATAATGAGAGAATCGTCACGAACTGTTGTTAATTTACCAGGTTTCACGATGGGTTCAGGTTTAATAACTTGTTGTTTGGAGGTCAGTGTGTGTTTATGAATCTTGGGCTCTTTATTGACCGGACGAACAGTC